CTTAAAGTATTTATTTTATGGTATTCATTTTGCTTGCAAAGCAACATCTTGCACAAGGGTTACAAGTTATGCATGTGTGGTTTCTCTGCACCGCATCAGTAATTAAAGCCCATTACTGACTAGTTCCTACTGTTCTTAATGCCTGTGAGGCCTCCCACAAACTAAATTAATTACTTTCTGTATGCAATCGTTAAGCCTGTCAATCAAGCCAGCACACACACACACACACACACTTCAGCCAAATCTTAAAATCCTCGAACTGTTTATTGTAATGGAGTTGTAAATCACTCAGATACACAAGAGGAAAAACACATGGGGCTTTTAAACAAGCAAGATGCGTGTCATAATAATTACAGAACAAACATTCTCATAAATTCACTGTTAACAAGCTGGAAGTCTCCAAATGTTTCAAATACTGACATTTACGTTCATACTGTATGTTGAAGTTTTCTTGTTAGCATTTCTTTCTAAGGATCTTACCTTATATATTACACACTGAAATATATTAATATTAATTGAAAAGAGTTAAATGATTATATATAATATATTTATATTAGCATTTCTATCTAACTATTATTATCTATTTTTTATATTTTTAAATAACTCCTTTGTACTGGAATATATTTTAATTTAAAATGTAATTTATTCCTGTGATGGCAAAGCTGAATTTTCAGCATCGTTACTCCAGTCTTCAGTGTCACATGATCCTTCAGAAATCATTCTAATATGCTGATTGTTTTATTATTATCAATGTTGAAAACAGTTGTGCCACTTCATATTTTGGGGAAACTGTAAAGTTTGTATTTTTCAACTTTCTTTTTCTTTTAGAATAGGAAGTTCAAAAGAACAGCATTTCTTTCAAATATAAATCGGTCACACTTTATTTTAAGGTACAATTCTCGCTATTAACAAACAATTAACTACAACTTTTGTATCAAAAAACTCCTAATTTGCTGCTTATTTATAGTTAGTAAGGTAGTTGTTAAGTTCAGGTATTGGTAGGATAAGGGATGTAGAATATGGTCACGCAAAATATGTGCTTGCTGAATAAAAGTTGAATTTTGTTAAAAAAAATACTGACCCCACACTTTTGAAAGGTAGTGTGTTGATATATTTCAATGCAATTTTTTCATTAAAGTGTATTCATAAATTTTCATTAAAGTGTATTCAGTGGATTGTAATTACCTTACAAAATCTCACAGCAAAAACAGAACACTGTTGTGTACTAGTTCACACAAACCATTTAACCCACACTGCGTCTGTGCATTAAACAGTTTTACACCCTATTTCAACACTCCCCGCCTCATAATTCACATCATTTAGGGCAGTTGTAAATACAATTCATTTTAATGACAAACCTTTCCCTTGACAACACAAATGCAACTACATTGTGGCAGAACAAAATTCAAATGCAGTGCAATTCTGAAATGAGTTTAAGGAGTTTTTTGTCATATTTTTGAAGTGGTGTGGGAGGCAGAGACACGTCAGAGCAGTGCAGAGCGAAAGAGATAGATAAATTATAATTAGCAGGTGTAATTAGAGGCTAGCAGACACTAATGAAGAAGGATTAATTGCTGTTATCATCAAGGACTCTTCATTAATACCCTTATTTAATACAAGTCGTCCACGTGTTCGTCACGGCAATAAAATCCAGACCTGAAATAGCTCTCAAATCTCAGTGTGCTGTTTGGCTCAAGTCTTGACTCAATGGATGCTGAGGCACTGAGCCTGTGCTGTTGTTCTGATATGATATGTGCAGCAGGTGTTTCGTTGAGTTACTGCTGTTGCAGATTTGTGATTTGTGATCAGGCTGTTAATTTAGTTCATTATTTATTTCTGCTTTACTGTGCCAGTGTGTTATTGGATATCTGGGACTGGGACAATATTTAACAATAAGATTTAAAGCTTCATGTTTTATTTTATTTTTTATTATTAGTAGAAGTGGTAGTAGTATTTGTTATGTGCTGTGGTATGTGGGAAATCCCCTTGAAGATTGTTTTACTGTCAAAATGTAATATTCTAAATAAGTTTTACAATTAAAAAAAAAATTTAGTCCTTGTATTCATGGATGATTCAAATTGTTTTTATTCGTTATTTTAGTATCACTGAGATATTATCGTAGTTTTTTAAATATTTTCAAATAGTTTTTGTCTTTATATTTAATGATTTCATTTCATTTTAATGTATTTTATTGTTAACAAATGTTTTAATTTTTATGATTTTTTTTGCATTTTATTGTTAAGGTCTTAGTAATTTTGTTGTGTTTTTGTCATTTTTATTAGTTTTATTTAAAAATATTTTTGTTTAAATAATTTTTATTTTACTTTTAGCTTTAGTTGTATATACAGTACCGTAAAATTAATGTCCAATACATGTAATGTCCAATACAGTTTTTCACCGTATATAGTAGAGGAATTTACCGTTAACCATTTAGCAGGTTTTTTTAGCATTTAGCAGGACTGTAGCATTTTTACAGTCTTTTACCGTTAAATTCACGGTCATTTTTTACAGTGTGGTTTTACTTTTGGTTTTAGATTTAGTTAACAATAATAACCCTGTTTATTAGTTTCTGTTAGTTAGTTTTTTCATTCATTATTCTCTTTATTTGTTTTCTTTTAAAATATGCAGATATTAAATATCTGTGTACAGAAAAACTGATAATTATTTTATGTTATAACTCATATTAAAATTCAAAGCTATTTGGTCTCAACGAATACAGAAATAAAACACTAAATACCAAAATCAGTCATTTAAATGCTACAAGTGAATCTAGGTCTCACAACATCATAATTTACAGTATAAAAAGTGGATATTCTAAGATTGCTAACAATATTATTAAATTATTAGTGTTATTAATAATGAACCTTGAGTGAGTATAAATGGCGAAACTAACCTAAATGTAAAAATCGGGGAATGAGCTGCAAAATTGAATATTAAGTATCAACCAATACCAATTTAATAAATAAAATAATTAATAAGAAAAAAAGAAATGTGTGCTGAAACGTGTTTGAAAATGTCCCATCCCATGTTGTTGGATTTACTCTTTTGGTTTACTAGTTCTAGTTTACTAGTTTCTAGATGTGAATCTGCCGCAGTGTGTGAAAATGGGTTCAGTGTGTTGTCTTCTTGTTTCATTTATCAATAAGCGGCATGTTATTCAAGTACCTTTTATGTGTAATCATACACACACACACATTCTCTCTCTCTCTCTCTGTGTCTGTCTGGGTGGCATTTTTTAATGTACTGCGATAAGAAGAGCAAATGGACAAAGTTAATTAAAAAGAAAGACCAGACAATTTGACAGTACTTTTCTCTCTCTCTCTCTCTCTGTCTCTCTGACAATAACAAAGGCACGGTCTGTTGAACTGCTCACAGTAGGAACTGTAGCATTTTTCTGGAAATTCATGGCAGAATAGTTGTGGGATTAGTTGTGAATAGCGAAGGGTTAAGTTGAAAATTCCAGCTGGCTTTGCGGTCATAGACAGATGTCTGAAGTGCGTCTGGTCTGTCGTCATTTCTCTGTCTGTGTGTGTGTGTGTGTGTGTGTGTGTGTTCGTGTGTTGAATCAATACTTCTCTGCCCCAGAAGGCCATAGTCCATCAGGGTCTTTACACACAAAACCTCTTCAGTTATCTGGGCTTTATCTTGTGTGGTTGTCTTTTACTCAAACCACTTTACAACACACATTTATCTCCTGTTTAAGAAAGACAGCATTTAGCTAGTAGTCAATGGGTAGTGAAAGATATGAAGTGCTTTTGCGATTTTGACATGCTCTGCATTGTGACGAGGTACTAAATCTCATCTAAAACTGTTATAAGCAACATTTTGATCATTGTTTTATGAGCTCCTATTCATTTAGAGACCACATTGAATATTTGTACTTTTAAAAAATCATTTTTCAAACCACAAACCAATTTAAAATGAGCTATTGAAGGAAAATAAAATTACTATAAAATGGTGAAAAATAAATGGTGCATATAGTGGATTGAAGAGATAAATGACTTATATTCATATAATTGCCTGTATATTTACCTGTGCTAAATTATAAATACTCAAATAGGCTATTAGAGTAATATAAATAATATTATTGTTTAAATTATTACTATTATTATTATTTAAAATGAACTAGAGAATGAAAAAAAAATTAACAAAGAAATGTAACCATTTGCTAAATGATGAGCCAGCCCCTTATATTATTATATAATATTATTGCTTAAATTTTATTTTATTTTAAGTTTAGTCAAAAAATATTTTTATTTGTTATAAATATGTTATAAATATGTTCTAATTTGTTATAAATATATACATTTTTATTTTTAAATATAACTTTTTATATTTAGAATTTTATGTTTTTATATATTTGTTATATATTTTAATATTTAGAATGTTAATATTATCAACAAATCTGTGCTTCGAATGCATATTCAATACATCTGGCACAGTGAGTTTAAGCAAACCCCAACTGCATCCATTTGCATGCAGTTTGCACGCACAAATCATTGGTATGTAAATACAAGCACCGTTTTGCCTCAAATAAAACGGTGGCTCTTGCAGTAATTCATCTAAATTTAAATGTGGCGGGCTTTCATTTAGGACTCATGTAAATACAAATAGCGAGAGCTTTCATTTGAGGTGCTTGTTAATATAATGTAATGTAAATGAATGTGCTCGTATGCAGAGCAGCGTGGTCGGCGGAGCATAAACGGGACGCAGATGGGACCCTCGTCCTCGGTTTTGTTACGGCGTGATGCTCCGTTAACCCTTACCGAAGATGGTAGACGGGACGGGGGTGAGAGGGACAATAAATTGAAAGCAGCAGAGCTCAAGCTTACAATACATCAATCCTGAGAGAGTGAAGAAGAGACGAGTGGGAATGGAATTATAGCAGGGGAGAGAGAGAAAGAGAGAGAGAGGGGGGGGGTGCGATAAAGCTAGAATGAGAGAGCCTGGATGGGGGGGAGAAGGGAAGTGAAGAGAGAGAAGCGCACATGAGCGACTCCAACCGTGAGAGAGAGATTGCGAGAGAGGGATATAGCTACAGTGCAGTGACCTACAGAGACAGATGAGTAAGTGCTGTGTGTGGAGTGTTACCACCGTATCTTGTTATCAAGGATCCCATTAAGATGGTCCTGTAGCCCTCGCGCTCCATATCTGGATATTTCTACTTCCATGTGGGATGAGCAGCTGCGCTGAGCGAGAGAGACCGAGGCATCTGACTTCAACACCATGAGGTACTCACGGAACGGAGGGAACGAGACGTGAGAGAGAGGTGTTTGAGAGCAGAAAGAGACAGGGATGACAATGGTAACAAGCGGGAGATGCTGTGCGAGGTGGTGAGAGAAGAGGAAAGGAGGTTTAGAATGAGAAAAGCAGAAAGAGACGAGTGGAGGAGAGGTGTTTTCCTGAAAAGTGAAGTTGGGGGGTTGTGCCTCTGTTGAGGGACTCTACATTAACCCAGATTCTGCTCACTTCAGGCTAGTAAGTTGTTTAAATTCAGCTCCGTTTTTATATTTTAAAGCTGCAAACTTAGTTTAATTCTAAAACTATTTCAAATTTAAATGGGAATCCTAATACAATTCCGTTTATATTTAAATGGTAATCCAGATATAGTTCCAAATTAAACTTGAATGGAAATCCACATTCAATTCAGATTTACATTTTAATCAAAACCCAAATGCAATTCAAATTAAGTTGCAATTTGAGTTCCCAGTTGACATTTAAATCCAGATTTCGAATGTAAATGCAAATACGGATCCAATTCAGATTTATATTTGAATCAAAATCAGAATACAGTTTACATACTGTGTATTTAAATCCAAATTCAGATACAATTAGAGTTCACAGTTGACATTTAAATCCAGATTTCAAATGTAAAGCAAAAACGGATTCAATTCAGATTTATATTTGAATCAAAATCAGAATACAGTTTACATACTGTATATTTAAATCCAAATTCAGATACAGTTTGAGTTCACAGTTGACATTTAAATCCAGATTTCAAATGTAAATGCAAAGACAGATGCAATTCAGATTTATATATAAACCAAAAGTGTAATACAGTTCAAATGTACTGTATGATTGTATCCAGTTTCATTTACAATTTGAGTTCACATATAAATTCTGATACAATTCAAACTGAAATTCAAATTCACATTTAAATCCATATTCCTGATCAAATTCAAACTCATTTAAATGTAGATCCAATTCATTGAATTCATTAAGTCTTTGAAACATACCTGTCAATACTACATCAAATTGAAATCTTAATTTAATGTGTATGGTGATATAAAATCATATATTTTCAAATTCAGAGCGGATTATAACATTTTTTCTGGTTCTAAATTCTAGCTCTAAATTTTTATTGGATAAGCCATATTCATATATACTGTACTATAAACACACTCCCAAAAAACGCACATACTATATTAAAGCACCTATTTGCTGTGTTGCTTGGTGACCACAAACTATATGATTTGGCTGAAGAATAGTTTGTTCAGATTATGTAAATTATAAAAGTAACACTTTACTGAACATTGGTGTTTACAGAATTGTGTAAAAACACACCTTACTCTCAGTAAACTGCACATCCTCTCGCACCTTATTTTTACTTTTTTTTTGTTGTTAATGGTAGAGTAAATGCTTCAAAAGTCTCTGTTCAAACAGTAATAGCAGTGTTCAGTATATCCTGTTCTTTTGTATGTAATCTTCGAGTAAAGCCCCTGTCTTTACAGTTCCTGTGAGGACTGGCAGTGAAAGAGACTGTCTCAGTCTTTCTCTCTCTAGTGGCTATGAGCTGGGTAACCGTATATTGTGTTTCGGACAAAAGCAGCCATAAGTGTGAAATCTCTAGGAACGCAGATAAAGTGTACAGTATAATGTACGGAAAGTCAAGGGAAGGGAATGAGAGTGTTTGAAACGGAAATGGTTTGCAATAGTATCAGTCTTCGCCACAGGAAAAATAATAAACGTAAAGTCCTTTTGTGATTCAACCTGAGAACCTTCTTTGATTCATCTTATGAATCTTACTCCAAATACACATGTAAGGGTCAGTCATGTCAGCTGGACGTTCCTCGCGCTAATCACGTACAGCGAAAATAGAAAAACCGTAATGACCGAACGCAAGCTACCTATTAGACTCTATCATGTGCTTTATAATTTCCCAGAATCTATTAAAAATCATGCTATGCTGTCATTCGGAGTACAATTATATTCTGTGGACCTTGACCAGCCTGGTCCAATCTGCCAAATGTGGTTGTGACTTTCCATAAATATAACAGAAATGTAACAGAAATCAATTGGCTCTTCCTCTGCTGGCCGTTCTCGAGGTGCTAAAGGCTCTTTCCGATCGGTACGCTAGCATGCAGAGCACCAAAGAGTGAGCGTTTCATCAAAGACATGTCTTTTCGTCAATACGGTATTGGTTATGCGAAGAATAACGTTATTTTACAAGTTCTGCATGATTGTCTTTGACAGGAAATGCATTTTTTTGCAATGTTTTGGTGCACATGAATAAGGTTGTGGATTCGGAGTGTTTTGAATAGAGATGGCTATTAATGTATTAATGGCTGTATTAAAGTCTCGAAGGGTTAAAGGGGTTTGTGATTTGTCTCCTTAGAGACTGGTATCTGTTTTCTTTTTTAAATGCTTTCCTTGAGGCGCACAGCTGTCTTGGCATGAAAATGCTCCCGGTATCCTCAAAACTAAGTCAACTGACATTAAAGACACGAATACTACAAGTGTAATTTGTACAGATTGATTTGCAGTGATCTGAGACCACTTGTGGAAACTGTTTGATTATGCATTCTCAAATTGAATTCGATTTCATTTTAGCGCGACCGTGGAAAGTTGAATGTAAAATAATGTGAATATCAGAATGTTAATAATTAGTACGTATGCCACTCTTTTGCTTTAATGGCAGCAGCGCTCGACTCCACAAGTTTGTGTGAAACCAGATGGTCTTGTTCTCCACCATGATTTGATCCAAAGATTAATATAGAAGCTTCAATAGAAGAACATCTGACCGTTATATGATCAATGTCACAAATGTAATTATATGATTAGTAACCTAGAAATAGAATCTGAAATATTTCTTAATCATTTTATGTCATAATTTTATTTCCAGCTTTGAATTGAGTTTCTTCAATGTGAACTTTTTTGGAGCCTACTGTCTTTTTGGAGATTTATGCAGGTTGATGTATATAGAGATGGTTAATGAGTGATTTACCCTTTGGCATTATCAAATTAAAGGTGATCATTTGTTCTTCTCCTTCAGGGTCCACTAACTTTTGAAAGTACAGTCTGTCATGTAGTTCTGTGTTGAAGGGTAATTAAGAAAAGAAATCCAATTCTGCCATCTGTGTGTCACAGCAGCAAAGCTGTTAGTTTCGTCTGTTGCATGATTTAGTTTGAATTAGCACAGACTGACATCTGTATGTTGTGTTTTGGATGAGAACTGGTACATGTAAAAATGGTCTGGGGTGAATACATTACACAGTGTGCCTCTTAATTATGTGTTATTTCCGTGCAAAAACCTGTCTTGTTCACAAACCTCCCACAATCCAGTTTAAATCAGGTGTTATCTGCAGTATGATTCATTTTATTGCATTTTTTATATTAAATTAGGTCGGAATGCACAAAATATTTGTTGATATATATATATATATAATTTTGAGTAAATTATAAATCAAAAGTAAATCAGAATGGGATATTTTATTGTCTATGCTCATTATATATATTTAGATGTATTTGAGCCAATTTCTGCCATGTAAGAACAAAAATCTTGCTTTGCTAAATCATAATTCTAACATAAAAAGTCAGATTTATGCAAAAATAAATTGTCCTAAAAAGTTGTTTTTAATTGGTATTCAAAGTCGAAATTATTACAGAAATGTGAAATTATGGCCCAAAAAAAGCCATAAAACATTATAGTTCTAACATAAGTTGATAGAAACAAGAAAAAAAATACAAAAAGTCAAAATTATGACAAAAAATACATTTATGAGATTAAAATGTATTTAATATTTAGTGTAATTTATGAGATAAAGTCATAATTATGTCATTATTATGAATTAGGTCGGAATGCACAAAATATTTGTTGATATATATATATATATAATTTTGAGTAAATTATAAATCAAAAGTAAATCAGAATGGGATATTTTATTGTCTATGCTCATTATATATATTTAGATGTATTTGCTCTGTAAATTTCAGCTGTGTAAATGATTTTGTGGCCACTTTGTACTAACGTTACCTTTGAAAGCCAATTTCTGCCATGTAAGAACAAAAATCTTGCTTTGCTAAATCATAATTCTAACATAAAAAGTCAGATTTATGCGAAAATAAATTGTCCTAAAAAGTTGTTTTTAATTGGTATTCAAAGTCGAAATTATTACAGAAATGTGAAATTATGGCCCAAAAAAAGCCATAAAACATTATAGTTCTAACATAAGTTGATAGAAACAAGAAAAAAAATACAAAAAGTCAAAATTATGACAAAAAATACATTTATGAGATTAAAATGTATTTAATATTTAGTGTAATTTATGAGATAAAGTCATAATTATGTCATTATTATGATAAAATCGACTGTCATGATGACTTATAGTCAAATATGACTATATTTATGGTCATATTTATGACTTATCTCATAATTTAAAAAAAAATTGTAGTAATTTTGACTTTTTATCTCATGATTATGACTTAGAATCTCATAATTGTGACTTTTTGTCATAATCACTAAATGTAATCCTAAAGGTTTATATTTAGATTGCATTTGCCATTATCTAACATTCCTTCAAAGGTAATTATTAAAACAATTTAAAAACGATAATTTAATCATACTGTTAAATATTATCTTAATCAAATCTCAAAATATCCAACAGAATATTACATCTCAGAATCAGTTTTTCATACTGTACATTATAATGCTTAATTATAACATAATTATAATTATAATTATTTAAAAAAACTAATCAAGTTAAAATACATCATGTTTTATTTGATTTATTTACAGGTATTTTTATTTGAACAAAATAGTTTCATATCAGAATTATCAACCAGAAAGTAAAACTGAATACCATAGCAGCCAGAATTTTAACTTAGGTACATCACTATAATAAAGCGACTAGTTATTATATTTATATGGCGACAGCATGACTGTCAGTTCCTACTCTGTGCACCTAGATAGCAACAACCACAGCGTAGCAGAATGAGAAACAAGTGACATGAGCTGCTTTGAATTTCACAAAGAGGAGTATTACAATATTAAAGAGTTGCAGTGTGTGATAATTCAGTGAAAGTGATGTTCTCAGCATGGATTTGGTCTTTGTGTGTGTGATAATTCAGTGAAAGTGATGTTCTCAGCATGGATTTGCTCTTTGACTCAAAGATGTGACATCGCTCTCTGGCTCTCCTCCGCTTGTTTATGCTGCAGTTTCCCCCCCTGGTTTGAGATTAGTCCCTGCTGTGTGCGTGGTGTGTGTATTTAGCTCATGGTGGGTAGCAGTGGGTGGGGTTTTATTTTCCAGCACAGATTAGCAGCTGAGAAGGGGATTCCATCCTATTAAATTATTCATGCTCAAGAAATGATTACAGTGCATGAAACAGCATTGTGCATCAATAAAAGCCTTACCCTAGACACTGCGTGTGTGTGTGTGTTTGTGTGAAGACCCTAATTCACTGGGTTCAAATTAGATGGCAACCATAATATAAACTCAATGAGAGAGGCAGCTTATTCCAAGCACGATTCATCATCTCTCGTTGTGGAAAGGCAATGGTTTGATTTAACTTGGGTTGAGTTGTAGGGCAGAGCTTTTTAAACTTATAAACTCTCTGCCGAGGACCCAAATAAGATTTTTGGGGGGCAAATACACTGAACAGACACTTTGCAAGTGCAAAAACGTGTCTGATTCACTATTGTCATTACATGTATAAATCAGTACTGATACCCATGGTTAAGTGGATTTTATTTTTGGAGTTTATATGCATTTTCTATTTATTATAAAAGTTGTTATTTATCAAAATATTAATAAAGCAGAGCATTATAACTGGACATATATCAGATACTGGTATGCATGGTGTAAATTTTTTTTCTAGAAAAGTAGTGCTCAGAACCAACCAAAAATATGGTAAAGTTTGCTGTGAAAATCTCAGATTTTGTGATTAAAAAGCTAAAAAATATCATGCTAAAATTATAAAATGAGTATAAAACTAGTAAAATTATAACATAAAAAGTCAAAATTAGGAGAAAATAAATTATACAAAAAAGTCATCATAAAAATGTTGAATTATAACATAAGTCAAAGTTGAGACAAAAACAATCAAAATTACGACAAAAAAAGGTATCGTTGACAAAAAGTCGGAATTATGACAAGTCAAAATTTCAACATAAAAAGGTATAGTTATGACATTAAATTGAATTTAAGATAAGTAGCAATAACTATAACATTAAAATGTCTTTATTATGACAAAATTGCAAAATGTCATAATTTAACTTTTTTTGTCATAATTTCAACATTTCATCTCATGACTTTGTATCTCATTTCTGTCTTAAATTTTTTCTCTTTTATGGTGGAAACAGGCTTTTATGGTGACCTTACTTAACTACGTTCTTGTCATAACATTCAGTGAACTTGTACATACAGTGCATTTTTGTTCTTCACTGTACAATATGAAAGAGGAACATTTCCACTCAGACTTTAGAGCAGAACACTAATAAATGTCAGATTATTAAATCAGTCCAGCAGGTGTCTGTAAAAATGTGGCATTATAGTTAAAGTGTGCATCTCATCTCTGTCATTATATCCAATATCTATCTTTTTCTCTGCCTTTTCTGAATCTGAATCCTGTTTTGCACAAATAGTACCAGCAAACAGTACCATGCAGCCAGTGACACTTCTGCATACCATATTTTGGACTTTGTTAGCTGACTCCTTATGTTGAGTTTATCTTTGCGTCCAGGTCATGTTGTAGCCTACATTTCATGTAATATTTTAAGTGCAAGAGAAGCTGCATATTTATATATAGGCCTAACTTACGGCTATAACAATTAAGGTCATTAATAATTTACCATAAATAAGATCTCCCTGGCCAAACCACATGCTGACACAACCTCTATATCTTTTCCCTACAGGTGCCACAAAGTGAAGTCAGTGTAGTGTGAGCGGGAGCCCTGAGATGGCGACGCAGGGGCTGGCAGCCCGGCTCTTGGTGCTGCTGGCCGTCTTGGCGGTGGCTCATGCCTCCGTCTTCCAGTCCAATCAGAGACTGAAACCTCGGTTCCAGCGAGACCGGCGCAACATCCGCCCCAACATCATCCTCATCCTCACCGATGACCAGGACATTGAATTGGGTGAGTGGAAAAACTCAGATACCTTTAGAATAATTTATGACAAGCCACCTCAAAGAGAAACTCCCTGGGTTTTTGGAGACAAAATAAAACAATTAGCTGTGAGAGTCCATATGGTAGAGTGATTTTCAAATGTTTCAGGGATGTTGTTAGGCACAGCATGCACTGGAATGCTGATGACATGCTTTACATGGCAACCGCAATATGATAAAAGACACCAGTTTTCAAGACTATCAAATCATCCACTGATTCCAATGAGAGCTTATCCAATCAGATTTTAGATTATTTAAATATACACTACTTTACAAAAATTTAGGGTGAGTAAGATTTTGTTATACTTTTGTAATGCTTTTATTCAGCAAGGATGCATTAAATAGATCAAAAGTGACAGTACAGACATTCATAATGTTACATGTAAATGCTTTCAAATAAATGCCATTCTTTTGAATTTGTATTCTTAATAAGAACTGTCTCTTGAGCAGCAAATCAGCATATTAGAATGATTTCTGAATGATCGTGTGACACTGAAGACTGGAGTACTGATGCTGAAAATTCAGCTTTGCATCACAGAAATAAATTACATTTTAAAATATATTGAAATAGAAAACAGTTATTTAAAATTGTAAAAAATATTTCTAAATATTAGTGTTTTTTATTTAATTTTTGATCTGAATAAATGCAGCTTAAAATACTTCTTTCAAAAACATTTTAAAAGGTAGTGTACGGTAGTGTATTTCTACGCCTTTAGTTGATTCAATGTATTTAACCAGTATAACCTGAGCTAACCACTTGTAAAAAAATATTTAAAAAAAAATCACAGTCACGTCATTTGCTCCTAAAACAAAGCAGTTCTTTAGAATCTCTAATGGTTTTAGCAAATAAGATATCTCAATCTAAAAAGGGTTACAGCTACAAGATGGAACTAATGTTGAAAGAGCCTTTGCTTGTGTTGAATGTGTTTGTGTGTGAGAGCTCATTTATTTTTTACAGGCTGTCTCTATGTGGTGAAAAAGAGACATCTTGGGCTTTGTCAGAGCGGAAGACAATGATTCAATTAGGAAGGAAAGTCCCCACTCCTCTCAGCACGGGACAGTGTTGATTTTATATGCACACACACATGCGTGTATAAGCTGTAATTATGGATGTGGCAGAGAGATGACTGTCTTTGTCTCATCTCGTTTCCTCTTGAGTGCTTGTCTGGGTGAATGCTGATTTATCCAGTATTGTCCATCCATACTGACCTTTGTGTCTAAAGTGCACAGAGTATTTTTGCAGTGTGTACGTTTGTTTGTGCTGACCTTTCTGCATGAATCTGTAGAGGTGTGGTGATCCTGTCTGAAAAGGCCAAAGTGAACTAGACTTCCTGTCTCTGATCATATCAATTGAGCCAATCAGGTTGTAGGTTGTGTGGGTTCACTTAGCTTTGTTCCCATAAGTTATAAAAAAAATAATAATTAATGGGCATTTTTAAAACTGGAAATTGTAAAATGCAAAATTGGCTTTTTGCAGTCTCTTAGGCTCACCAAGGCTGTATTTATTTGATCAAAAATACAGTAAAAACACTAATTTATTACTGTGATACAAAGCTGAATTTTCAGCATCATTACTCTAGTCTTCATTGTCACATGATTCTTCAGAAATCATTATAATATGCTGATTTGTTGCTCAAGAAAGATAATAGTATCAGTGTTGAAAACAGTTGTGCTGCTTTTTTTGGTGGAAACTGTAATATTGTTAAATATCATTATAATTGAAAAGAACCCTTTTTTATTTGAAAATATTAGGGTTCTTTGATCAATAGTATGTTCAAAAGATCAGCATTCATTCAAAATAGAATTTCCTGTACACCTTTGATTTAATGCATCCTTGCTAAATTAAATAAATAAATAAATAAATCTTACTGACTCCAAACCTTTGAATGGTAGTGTAAAAACAATAGAAGTTCATGGTTTGTCCTCATTTACATTTAAATAAATGTGTGTGTGTGTGTGTGTGTGTGTGTGTGTGTGTGTGTGTGTGTGTGTGTGTGTGTGTGTGTGTGTGTGTGTGTGTTTATTTGAGCAAGACAAGGTCGAATAAACGCTGAGGAAAAGGGGTTTTGAAAAATATATATACTGTAATTGAGACTTTTAATAAATAGTGTGTGACTTGTGAATATAAAGACTATCATATATCTCTAAACATACACATTCATGCATGCACACACACAAGCACGCTGCTGGTGTCACATGAATTCCCAGGTTGCAAACAATCAATACATTTCCTCTTAAAGGCTGGGATGTCACAAACAGTATAAATGAAAGAATTGATATCTTTATGTTGTCGATGTCTAGTGTTGTGTACAGGAAGAGAAAAAGTAGAAGCCAGTTCTCTTTGAAGTACAGCAATCGGTAGAGCAGACTTTGTCACCTTGAGTAATATACAGTATGATAGATTTTCTTTCACTCTCTCTCTCATCCAGGCTCCATGCAGGTCATGAATAAGACCCGGCGGATCATGGAACAGGGTGGAACGCACTTTTCCAACGCGTTTGTCACCACGCCCATGTGCTGTCCGTCACGCTCCTCCATGCTGACGGGGAAGTACGCCCACAACCACAACACCTACACCAACAACGAGAACTGCTCTTCTCCCTCCTGGCAGGCCCAACATGAGCCGCGCACTTTTGGAGTTTACCTAAACAGCACTGGCTACAGGACAGGTGGAGATCATTCACAAACACACACTGGAAGGATTACTTGGTTAAACTGCTGTGTGATTGTCGCATGATATAAAGTAAAGTAGAGTTGAGTACAGTAGTGTAGAGTGTAGTAGAGCTATGGATTCAGCATAGAATAGTGTAGACTAAAACTAGTAGAGTAAAGTTGGAGAATAGCCTAGAGATGAGTAGAGTAGATTAAAAGACAGTAGCACAGACTGTACAACAGAGTTGAGTAGACTAAAAGAAAATAGCCTAGAGATAAGTAGAAAATTGTAGACTAAAGTAGAGTAATATTGGCTGAAGAAGAGTAGAATAGAGTTCAGAATAGTAGACTATAGTAAAGGAAAATAGCCTAGAAATAATGTAGATTGAAGTAGAGTATCATCGACTGAAGTGGAGTAGAATAGAGTTAAGTAGACTATACTAAAGTAAAGGTGAATAGCCTTCAGATGTGTAGACGAGAGTATAATGTAGAGTAGAATAAATTAAAGTAGCTTATACTAACAGAGCAGAATATAGTAACATTGACTTGAGAAAAGTTTATTAAAGCAGAGGACTAGACTAAAATAGTGCAGAATAAAATTGAGTTGAGTAGACTACACTAAAGTAAAGTTGAATAGTCTAGAGATTAGTAGAATAATAATGTAGACTAGATGGAAGTAGAGTGGCATATACTGAAGTAGAGTGGAATAGATTTAAGTGGACTAGAATAAAGTAGAATAGTGTAGAGATTAGTAGAATAATGTAGACTAGATTGAAGTAGAGTAGTATATATTTGAATAGAGTTGAGTAGACTTGAATAAAGGGAAAGACAAGAGCTTAATGAACAATAGAATAATGTAGAATAGATTAAAGTAGAATAGCACATACTAAAGTAGAGTAGAATAGAGTTGAGTAGACTAGACTAAAGTGAAGGAGAATAGCCTCAAGATGCAAAGACTAGTGTATAAAAATGTAAAGTAGATTAAAATAAAATAAATTAAAAAAGATTTCTACCAAAATAGAGCAGAATAGAGTGACATAGACTTGAGAAAAGTTAATTAATGCAGAGTAGACCAGACTAACATAAAGTAGAATAAAATAGACTTGAGTAGACTTGACTAAAATAGAGGAGAATAACATACAGATGAGTAGGCTAGAGTAGAACAATGTGGAGTAGATTAACGTACACTAACATAGTCTAAAGTAGAATAGAGTAGAATACATTTGAGTAGCCTATACTAAAATAGAGTAGAATAGAGTACCATAGACAAAAGCAGAGTGGAATGAAATAGAGTAGCCTAAAGTAGAGTAGTGTATCGAAGTTGAGTACTTTATATCTTTATAGCGTAAACTTCATTGTTGGACTAGATTAAAGCCTAATCAGAGTGTAGCAGCTGTGGCTCTAAGATCACACTTTCATATCCTCATAGCCTTTGATGATTTCCATCTGAAAAACTCTGGATAGACACCAAAACATTATGGCGCATAACTCTTCCTTACAATAACAACCTGACATGAATGTAAAATTCATTTAATAGATTGAGCTCTCATTCATTTGTGAGCTGTTTCATTAGTCAGAGTTGTGTCTGTTGGGTTTTTGACAGACTCTCACCAGAGATTCAGTGTGACAGGCCCCCAGGTCACACACACACTGTCAAACACACTCTCGCAGACTCTTGCACGAACATTGACATAATCTGTCTTCAACAGATGATTTTCATTAAACTAAAGACCATTGGGCTTTCAATAGATGGTTTTGTATAAGTGTGAGTGTGTGTGTGTGTGTGTGTGTGTGTGTGTGTGTGTGTGTGTGTGTGTGTGTGTGTGTGTGTGTGTGTGTGTGTGATGTTTTCTGTTTGTGACATAGACATCAGGCAAAACTACCATGTGCGTGTAAACATAGCATGACCAGCTGTGAATGTTGTGCCTGCACACACACACACACACACACATGGCAGTGAGTCAGGCTTTTAGTGGTAACAGTGATCCATTAGAGCACACTTCCTCTTGGAGAGAGACCGGCTCTGACCAACATCCTCTCTAATGTAACATTTCCAACACAAATAATCATCCATCTTCACTTAGCTCCCTGTCTTCTATTTCTCTATATGCAGGTTCTGTCTATATTCCCACTGTATTTTAAATGTGCAATGTATTTTTAGTATAAAAAGTTTACACTACTTTATTGTACTCTACAGAGTCCTACACAGCTTAATTCTACTCTTCTAGACTATTTATCATACCTACTGTTCTCTATGCTGCTCTTCCTTACTCTGATCTTCTCCATATTCTATTCTGTTCTATTCTATTCTACTCTATTCTGTTCTACTCTGTTTTGCCATATTCTTCTCCATTTTGTTTATCTCTACTCAACTATACCAATACACAATTCTACTCTACTCTGTTCTACTTTGCTAAGCTCTATTTTACCAGACTCTACTGTGCTGTGCTTTGCTCTGCTTTACTCTGCTCAGCTTTATTTTGTTCTATTCTGTTCCACTCTATGCTTTTCTACAATAATACATTCTACTCTGCTGTACTCTACCATACTTTACCGTACTTCTACTCTACCATATTCTCCTCTGTTTTACTCTATTGTTTTACTTTACTCGATTGAATTATCTACTCTACTCTGTTTTACTGTTTTTCTGCTCTACCTCATTCTATTCTTCTGTGTTCTATTCTGTTCTGCTCTATTCAACTGTACAATATGGTTTTCTACTTATATGTTTTACATACTATTTTATACTAACATACTAAAATACTTTATTATACTATACTCTATTCTACTTTGTTCTGCTCTACTCGACTTTACCACAACTTTACCTCTACTCTGTTATATGCTGTTTTGCTCTATTCTGTTGTACTAAACTCTATTGAACTCCATTCTATTCTACTATGTTCTACTATACTCACCTCTACCTCACTGTACTCTTTTATACTCAACTGTGCTCTACTCTGTTTTGCACTGTTCTACTCTACCGTTCTCTGCTCTATGCTGTTTTACTCTATTCTGTTGCACTTTACTCTGTTGAACTGTATTCCGTTCTACTCTACTCAACTGTATTATACACTTTTCTACTCTTCTATTCTACTGTATTCTATTTTCCTTATACTGTTTTACTCAACTCTATCATGTTATACTCTACTCAGCTTTATTCTACTTTCCTGTACTCTGCTGTACCTTCCTCTACTATTCTTCACTCTGCTCTGTTCTGCTCTCTATTCTACTCTGGTGTACTCAACACTGCTCTATTCTACTGTATAAAAAAAAAATCAAAAGCTGAGAAAACTTAAGAGTTTAAGGCAACCAGCTTCAGGAAATTTTTTAATTTTCTCAACTTGTTGTTTTCAGTTTCTACAACAAAAAGTTTAAACAAACTAAAAATGTCCTACAAAAACAAAATCTCCTCAACCTGGTTGCTTTAAACTTTTAAGTTTTCTCAACATTTGATTTTTTTACAGTGTACTCTACACTGCTGTATTTTATTATACTGCTCTATGCTCTACTTTGCTCTCTTCTACACTCTATTTTCTTTATGATAACTATACCCTTTTGTGTTTGTGTTTTCTCAGCATTCTTTGGGAAGTATCTGAATGAGTATAATGGTACTTACATTCCTCCGGGCTGGAAGGAATGGGTCGCCATGGTGAAGAATTCCCGCTTCTACAACTACACTCTGTGCAGGAACGGTGTCCGAGAGAAACATGGATTTGAATACTCAAAGGTGTGTGTGCAAGGTGGCCAATCAAGTGGAACCTCGTCTTTTCAAATTGCATCACCTTTTCTTCATTTCTTGTCATATCTTCATCCGTTCTTGAACAGTTTGACTGATATTCTTGTTAGTCTGATTTATAACAAAGTCAGACCCTTTTCTGTCTGTCTCTCACTCTCTTTCTCTCATTGGCTCTCTCTCACATTTCAGTGTCTTTTGTCAGGGTTCATCAGTCTCATCTAAGGGGCTGACATTCAAGCTCTGTGACAACAGAAAAGTTGCTTATGAGTGGGTTTTTTGTGTGTACGTGATAAACTTTTGAATAACTGAGACTGAAATATTTTAAATTAGTAGATTAATGATCAGATCTCTGTACCTCCTGTAGGACTACCTGACAGATCTCATAACCAATGACAGCATCAGTTATTTCCGCATGTCAAAGAAGATCTACCCTCACCGACCCATCATGATGGTGATCAGTCACGCCGCCCCTCATGGCCCAGAGGACGCGGCCCCTCAGTACACCACTGCCTTCCCCAACGCTTCACAGCACATGTGAGTCCAAACTTCCATTGCATAACATTTAATTTCAAAAGTTTATCTGAAAAACTGCTGAATTGCAGAATGTCTTAGTATTGGTATTTGCTTGGTCTCTTTTTCGTCTTTATGGAAACATCACTAAATTTGCATGAACTCCACCAGTGTGTGTAAAAACTGAATCATTTGGGATGATCCAAAAAGCATCTTGAGCTTCAATAGAAGAAAATCTGATTAGTTGTAAAAACACGTTGTAGCGTATTGGGACCAAACTCGGTGTGCGTTATAATATCCATGACCGGAGGGTACAGTTTCTGCACAGCGCCATCTAGTGGTTTGAGAGATATGAAAAATTGCTTTTTTGCTTATAATTTCTGAGCGGATTAGCCAAAAGTCATAAAACTGGTATTTGTAGATTGGGTAGACCATACCCAATTTTCTCATGTTGGCCATTTTGGGCGTCGGCTATTTTGAATTTTGTTCGCATTGGCGTAATATTACAAAACTCTGTATGTGTCTTCAACACCATGCCTTGAAGGTACTAAAAAAGGTTTTAGGGCAGCTGAGAACATTAATACAAATTATGCCATAATCAGCCAAGCTTCCTGTCCGCCATTTAGTTTTTCTTTGAAAACTTACTTTTTCAAACTCCTCCTAAAACGTTATCCGATATTCACCAAATTCAACTCTTTAGACCATGCTGGCAAAAAGTTATGGATTTCGTTTCGATAGACAAAATGTTATTACAATATTAACACATAAACAAATCTGAGGCTGTAACTCTGCAAAGTTATGATATATTGACACCAAACTTTGTGTGTGCTATTGTCATTTCACACTGAACACACCACATCAATTTGGTAACAGCGCCGCCTATTGTTCAAATTGATAAACCATTAAATTCTATCACATATTACTACATTTTGAATAAAATCATCTTAAATTGACTTCAATTACTCATTGCTGCTGTTGGTCTGATGCTCGCAGCCTTGCATGCTTCTGTAGTGCCTGGCTCCTTAATTGCTGCTTGCATCTATATTCATTATTATTTTTTATGTTTCTGGGTTGCAAATATTTCATAATTTTTACATTTTATTTTAAGAAAAAAAATCTCTTTTTCATTGAGGTCTCAGACTTCTGGACTCCATTGTACATACACAAAAACATGAAAAGGGTCAGTGGTAGTGGAGATGAATAGGATTAGAGCAGAGAAACAGCTGGAAATCATGGATAACACTGTGAATAGAAATCTTACTGCACTTTTCTCTATTTCTGTCACTCAAGTGCTACTCGATAGAGATGTTATAATGGAAATAGTCCTCTTCGGTTCACGCTAATGTACCCACAGACACACACACACTCGCTTTCTCTGCCGGTTTCTCCTGCTCTCTTGCTAATTGGCCACCAGCTGGTACCAGACCTTTTTTTCAATGTCTCTTTCTCTCCCTTCATTCATCTCATCCCTCCATTTCTGTCCCTCCAGCAGATAAATCCTCCTGTCTCTGTCTATGCTTTTCCCAGGGTCTGTAATCCTCCTGCCATTCTTCACACACACACAATCACACACATGCTGAGTACATACATGATGATGAAAAGCATATTTGTACACACTCACATAGTCTAGGTTAAATCCTGTCTACACGTGATGCAGTTGTTTTTAGGTAGCTGGATTTGCTAAATCTCTAGGACCCCACTCTCTCTCTCTGTGTACACCAAGTAATCTCAAAATCTCATTTTATAGTTCTCCATGTCTACTGTTTTGCCCGGTAACCTCATAAATTCAACCTCTAGATACAGGAAATCCCTGGGCAGAGGTCAGATTCATGAAAATCTGCTCAAGAAGGTAGTTAAAAATTAAATATACGTGAAATTTATATAATTTACATTTCTTAAAATAAATTTGTAAACTTGTAAAAATGTTTAAAGTACAATTCTTCAAACAGAAAAAAAACAGAAAAATGTTATACTTTTCTGTGAAATAAACATGCGAATGGCATATGAAAATATACTCTTCTCCTTTCATTTTTGTGGCAGAAACACATCAAATCAATCAAGAGCAAGAAGAATCCGTGTATCATTTGTTCACTCATTTTTTTATTTAATTTTGAAAGTAGAAAAATTTGAAAACAGCTCCTTTTTCTTTTTTTCATCCCCTAAAACAATAATTCAGCCTAATTTTCCATTTTTCGTTCAGGGGTAGAAAAATGAATAAACAGCTTGAATAGATTTGTACATGTGGGCGGGAATTAAATGCCCCTTTCTGCTGATTGGTCAGCTTAAGATCAAACCGTGCCATCATCAGTTCTTCCGCAGTTCTGCGCGGCAGAATAATAGTCCTCCGCTGCTGCAGGTGTACGGATTCTTGATGCATTTATTGCAACTACATTTAATCTTTTTCTCATTAATCAACCAGACAAATAAATAGCTCGACACAACTCGTACTGGGGCAGAGTTTAGACAGGGCTTTCTTCTGTGTAGACCAGCGGTTCTCAAAGTGCCAGAAGGTCCGCGAAATAATTTGCTATAGCCTACCTTATTTTCCAGACTGTAAAGTCACATTTTTTTATCATGATACATAGTGATTTATTCCTACGTGACTTGTATGATGTATATATGTATACTTTTAAAGTAGGTGCATCAAGTATTTGCTGTGTATATTGGTTCATGTTTGTGGTGTGCACCAAAAAAATGCTCAAGGAGACTGAGACGTGCTGAAGCGGCACATTCTATTGTTTTCTTTATTTTTGAAAGGCATGACATTCTGTTGTCATCTTGAATGTACACAAAATATTCATTTTACCATATGACTATAAATGACAGAGTATTATTTCCCCTCCTGAGGAAAAAAAATCTAAGTGAACATCAATTAATAGGTCTACTCAATATTAATGAAATGAACTCACACAGCAAAATCAGTTATGACTGCTGCATATTTCCTGTACACTTCAGTAGGCCTACTTGTCTGCGCTTGATTGTAGTCGCATTTGTGTGCTATTTAGTTTTTACTAAATAGTATACTCACCTATTCTAAATGCTTATTGCCTTCCTTTTCGAAAAACACACACACAATGTCCTGCTGCTCGCACTTGCCCATTTAATGGCAGAGAATGGTGACCACTTTTTTTTTTCATATGCATCTTGTGGTTACCAAGGGTTCTGAATGTATATGTGGGGCTCGTGCCCCGCACAATCGCATATCCTGTTGAGATCTCAAATATAATCGATTTTAATAAAACCAAAGGCTACATTATAAAAGTTAGAAGAGTACATCTCTGTTGTTCTAGGATTGTCAGATAGAATGAATGTTATGGGTCTATTATATACCCAAGTCAGTGCATTATTCATTCTTTTTTGTATTAGTGTTTAAATATTTAATTCAAAAGTAATTAATTCATTAATTAATTAAACAAACAAACTTACTGGGCGACCAGGGTAGGCTATGACAGCCGTCATATACTGACACGCCCAGCTGATGCAAAAGCATAGAATTTATATCTACACAGAAGAAAGCCCTGTCTAGAATCTGCCCCAGTATGAGTTGTCGAGCCATTTATTTGTCTGGTTGTTTGATGAGAAAAAGATGAAATGTAGTTGCAATAAACACATCAAGAATCCGTACACCTGCAGCAGCGGAGGACTATTATTCTGCCTCGCCGAACTGCGGAAGAACTGATGACGGCACGATTTGATCTTTGGCTGACCAATCAGCTGAAAGGGGCATTTAATTCCCGCCCACGTGTAGATATTGAATATTCACGCTGTTTATTAATTTTTCTACCCCCGAACGAAAAACTGAAAATTGAGCTGAATTCTTGTTTTTCGTTTTTTGGAAAAAAAATGAAAAAAACGAAAAAGGATCTGTTTTCTAATTTTTCTACTTTCAATATTAAATCAAAAAACGAATGATCGAATGATACAAGGATTAAGAAGGGCTTCAAATTTCAGTTCTAATAAACCAGATGTTATTATTCAGCTCGCTATAAACGTTAACAGTTAACTACAGTAAACTTCCTTGCTCAGTACATGAACCTGAAAGAAATAACTGACCACATACTTACAATGCACTATAAATTGCATACTGACATATTTCATGCATATAAAACAACACATACTGTAAAAAATAAGCTTGAAGATTTACATTAATGTACTTGTATAGAATATATTTTTCATGCCCCAGATACATCCGACAGCACACACACACAGATGTATTATCTCACACCACAAATGAGCAAACAAAAAGCCTCTAATGAACTAAATTATCTCTCTGTCTGTCTCTCAGATTCGATTTGCTTTCAGGACATTGTGTCTCTAAGCACAAAACCACACAAGCTCCCATTTCTCTTGCATTCAAGCAAGAAAAAGAGAGGGAGAGAGCAAAGAGATACAGTACTGTCAATTAATATTACTGTCTTTCCTGAAATATTGAGGCGTCAGGAATGAAATCAGACAGAATGTTCACAAGCATGCACATTAGCTTTCTCAAGCTGGGAGAAACACAAAATAGATGAATAGATCCATTTTTTAATTAGTAAATGGGAAGCTCTTCAAACAGTGTGTGTGTGTGTGTGTGTGTGTGTGTGTGTGTGTGTGTGTGCGCGCGTGTGATAAGCTTTCTGTTTAACATGCGTTTGATTCACCATTAGAGTAGATATAAACCAGGAGATGCAAACCTGCCCACTTTATGACTCACATAAACATCCATCATCCCTTCAAAGTAACTGCTCGAGTCAGAGAGTCTGGAATTTAATGTGCTTTTATTATTTTTCTGATGTCATCTCGCTTTCACCAATAAAAAACAAACTGCCTTGCTCCTGTTTTGCTCATACAGTCTCTTTTTGCACACAAACTCTTCATAAAACATGATTTATGATTCAAATATACACTCCGTATTTTTTATTCCATAGTAAGGGCAATTGATACAATACATTTAAACTGAGCTACTTTAATACCATCTCCGAACTTTCTACCACGACTCTGCTGTTCTTCGGCGGTTCTTCCCTGTATACGTTGATTGACAGATGTCTCGTCCAATCAGCGGTGAGTAATCCCAAACCAATGGCGCTGTCTCAAACTATACCTACCTCTTCCAGTTTGTCTGATTTGTTGTTGTGTTTTCTGACTTGTTCATTTGTTTTCGGATTTGTTGTTGTTTTCTCTGACTTTTTATTTTGTTTTCGAATTTGTCATTGTGTTTTCTGACTTGTTATAATGTTTTCTGAATTGTTGTTGTGCTTTCTGAATTGTTATTTTTGTTTTTTAGACTTGCATTTGCGTTTGTAATTTGTTATTTTGTTTTCAGAATTGTGATTTGTTTAGCACTTCTCTGCCACCGTACAGCTGCCTTCTGAGGCTGTATTCTAACCGTGATGGAATCTCATGTGATTTATTTGGAGCACTCTATATAGGCAGCAACTGTGTAGCAAGTAGCATTCCTCACGTCAAGCACACCAGAGACTCAATTAACAATTAATTCTAGTCTGGTAGTCTAATAAGAAATATAGAGCATAGCCTACACACAAATATTAGTTTGATGTGTAATATTTTTTATTGTAAAAATAAAATATTTTTTATTTATCTGTATTATATAAAATATTTATATTTACTCCTTGTACCGTTAAATCCACTTAAGTTTTACATTAGTATGTTGCTAATGTCTTGATAAACCTAAAAACACATAGGATACAAATATTTCGTGAAATAGTGTTGTGAATCAGGTTAGAACTATTTTTACTCAACACTTTTATGTGTGGAATATTATATTTAAAATCGACTTTTCTGTTTCAATTCCAGTCTGGCATTAGCATGTTGCTAAGCTAGTGCCTTAATAAGTTTAAAAATACAGAGGACTTAGGCTGGTTTTAGCAGGTTTTTTTCAGCAGGGTATATGGTTTAATCATGGTATTTGTAGTAAAACTGTGGTTATACAAAGGGTAATCAATATGTCAAAAAAAATACATACACATATGGGTGAATCAGATTAGAACTATATTACTCAAAACTTTTCTGTATTGAATAAAATATTTATCAACTAGGCCTATTCTGTTTACTGGGTTCTGTTTATCTTGAACGAGTGCAGTGCAGAAACACTATTGATTGAACAAAACTGAGCAATCGGGAAAGGAAGTGAATCAAAAAGGATAAAGAAAGCAACTGTGATTTTGACTGCAATCCGTGTGTTTTGGTAAAATGCAGAAAAGGCCTTTTTTGCCCATTTTAACACATTCGACCACATAAGAGAGACCCAACAAAACCAATCCGGTTTAATGTGTTTTCAGCTCTGGAAGTGGTCCAAAGTTGACACGCTCAAAACGTTTTAGGCCCGGTTTACTGTTGACTGGATCGAAAAAAACGCGTCTTATTAGGTTAAAACGCGACCAGAGCAACAATGAATGAAGCATCATGTTCGTGAAATAAATTAATAAACTGGGATTTTATAAAATGCAGGAAAAACAGTCAATATAATCCATAGAATAGGTCAATGAGTGAATCATTAAATTAATCTCAATTAATATTTTTAGTAAAATCATTCAAAT